GACCGGTGCAGACTTTTTGCCCGTCGAGATGTTTTCAGCCTGCCGCGGTTTGTCTCCATCTCCCGCAGCCGCAGGATCGCCGCTTCCTAATGCAATTTCATATGGCCTACAGGACGCAAAAAAGAAAGCAAATAAGTGTAATTGCAGATTTGCCGGAGTAAATAGAGCAGAGAAGCCGCAGCAATAAATAGAGACACAGTCAAAACAATGTTTGTTTTGCACATTATGGTCCTCAGTGGGATGTGTTTGAGTGTCCACAAAACTATTCCCAGAGGTGCTCCTTGTGCTGGACAAGCCAATAATTTGTTCAGTCCAAAAAACAAAAAAACAACCTCTAAAAATAAATTGAAAAAACATCCGGAAAACCACTTCCCCCTGCAACATTGAATCCCCCCCCCCCCCCCCCTCTTTTAAACCCCCCACACTAATTAAGTTCCTGCAAAGCCAATTTTTACCATGTAGGATTAATGCATTGAAAAGCACGGCTGGCGCTCAGCAGGCAACTGTCGGCGCATGAACGGAGATGAAGTGCGCTGTGCATTAGCGTCATGTGACTGGTGGGCGTGAAGCTCCAAGATGCTTCAGATCCATTTTTCTGGCCTCGTATGAGTCCCCCCCCCCCCCCTTCTTCTGCGAGGTGCGTGTTTGATGGACGACCCCGAGGTGACGTAGCCCGGAGCCACTGAGGCGGCCGCGCTCAGACGTTGCTCAGCTAAATGTTGAGTGCGTGTCGAGGCCGCAGTAAAAAATGCTCCTCGATGGGCAAAGTGGGGCTTTCAGATGTGACCCAGTGTGAATCCTTTGGAAGGGTTTTTTTTTTTTTAACGTTGGAGTCTTGTTGTGAAATGGTGGCGACCGCAGAAAAAAAAATTCTGATGTGAGCGATAATCAGGCCCGCAAATTTGGCCCACTTCTGTCGCGGGGCTAAATAACATTTCATTGATTTTGCTCCATGATGCCGCAGTTTGACCGTGAAATGGGTTTTAACCGTGAGGCAGACCTTAACCCTTTCTGGACTAACACCACTTAAAACCAAACGTTTCCTCAGGAAGACAGACAAAATCCACGTTTTGTATTTTTGCCATTTCTGCGGTCTTTGTTGAAAGTTGCTCATCATCGTCTAGCGCGTGGTTTTGCGGTAAGGTAGAACAACTTGAATGAACAAATTGGAACCAAGCCTGAAAATGCAACCCAAGTATTAATAACCACCCTGAAAGCAAGATGAATCATTGTGATGTTGTTCTTGTTGTTAATTATCTGCCTTGGTCATCTTACGTTCATTTTCTTTTTTTTTTTTTATCGATGATTTGGATGCCGCTTAATTGCCTTTTAATGCCCTTTTACATACAGTTTCGCATTTTTATGGCCCCAGGGGTCAAGCTCTGTGACAGTGTGATTAATGTCCTCTTTGAAAACCTTCCGCCGCTTAATTCACGCTTGCAAACAATGATGACAATGAAGCACTGCTTTTAAGCCTTTCATGCACCCTGGAGCCTGATAACATGATAAACTGCCCACTGTAGTGACCGCTGTCCCTGAAAGGGTTAAGAACACCCCTGTAGCCGGCTGATCACTTTTTGGATGCAAATGTCGCCTTCGGGCCTTGAATAACGACGCTGGTCAACTTAGTTCATTTGTTTTTGCATTCTGCGTGTCTTTTTGCAAGAAAAATGCCACGTAGATTCCCTCTCAATCTGCTGGGATTAATGAGCGAAAGCGCTTGGCTGCGCTTCAGCTCGTAAATGAGATGCTAAAAATACGAGCAATGGCTTCATGATTTGGATCACATTGGATTAGCTGTTTGCCTCGCTCGCAAAGTCGAGTGATGATTGAAATGATGGCCCGTGGGGAGTTCGCATCACAATTTATGTTTGACGTGAGTACCGTGAACCAGTTTTCACTTGGGGGCACACATTCCAGACTCACTTGCAGTAGGTGCCACTCTATGTTTTGGTAAGACCTTCACGGAAAAAACGTGTACCTACTCCTCATTGAGTGTCTGAAACGGATTAATTGGATTTACATTACTTCCTATGGTAAATACTGCTTTGGTTTTCATTTGATTTGAATTTAGTCCGAATTTGTGGCACAGATGATCCATAATAAGCAATGGTGGTAAAAAGATGGAAAATTTAAAGGGAAACAAATGTCATCACCTGCTGATTTCCATGAAATAGCGGCAATTTCTGCGATACGCAAGTTGAGACGTACCGCACAAAATCTGCAAAATGAAGGCACGGTGGTCGCTAGTTAACCCGCAAAACCGCAATATCAATTATTTTCAAGGAACTCATTGGTTAAAATTAGCCTCAACTGAGCTCCTAAGAGCAAGAAGCCTGTTGATTTTCAACGTGACTTCATAGTTTCATCAAAGCAACAATTGTGCACCTGTGGGAGGAATTCCATCTAATTGCAAAACATTGTTCTGAATATCCTCTTTACTTTTTTTTTGGCACAGTGCTCCAGCTGTGCATATCTAAATGCAATATCCCGTCTTGAGGACTTCGCCGCCAATATTGCCCAAAGGAAGCGTGTGTGAGAAGCTACGCTGATTGCTTTGAGCCTCAGAATTGCTCCTTCTGTGACCGTGTAACGCACATATGTCAGAGTACCGGCCCGCGGGCCAAATCCGGCCCGCGAGAATGTTTTCAGTGGCCCCTGGGATGATATTGATTTATTATTAGAACCGGCCCGCGGACCGCAGCAAGCCGAGAGCCCGCAGATCTTTTACACGCACCAATACTACATTTCCCACAATGCAACGGTGACGCGCCAAGCACTCGGCCGCTTTATTTAAATATTTATTAGTCTAGCAGTCGTTCCCATAACAGTGACATTAGCTTTCAGATACCCATCAAAAATGGCAAAACGGAAGGCGGACACTGAGAACCGGGGGTTTTAAACAAGGTGGGAGTCGAAGTACATGTTCATGGACGTAGCTGGAAAACTTGTGTGTCTTCTGTGCGGAGAAAGTGTGGCGCGATTGAAATTGTGTAATCTGAGACGACATCATGAAACGAAACAATGAAATCCCCCTTCCCCCTCCATGTCCATGAAAAACGGTATACTTAACGTTTGTGACGAAGTTTACCCCGAAAAAAAGCAACTCTTTTTAAACGTGAGGATTAGCAGAAACACAATTGCAGTGTTTCTGCAAAGATACGGCAGTGCGTGGCGTGCTGCGCAGTTTGCCCGTTTCCTCCCCGACACAGTGGCCCCGCTGCGTATCCAGGCTGCTCAAACGTTGTCGAAAGTTTGGCAGCACATACGTGTGTGAACAACTATTTTCTTTGATGAAGCTGAACAAAACATCACACAGAAGTCGATTTACTGCTGAACACCCTCACTCAATGTTGAGGATTTGCTCAGCTCAGAGCCTGACCCCAAATATTGATGAACTTGTAGAAAAATTAAGACACCACCGAGTATCAGCCTCAGCCTCAAAAAAGTGAATATTACCTATAATATACTGTGCAATCACATATTAAGAGTTTTTACTCAGTTCAAGTTTAAAAATTAAAGTATATTTGCTTTCGCTGCTTGTTACTTCTCCTTGAAGAAAGTGTTGTCTTTGGTTTATACATTTTTGCACTTTATTTTGTTGTATTTCAATCCAATTATGTTTTAAAAATATTTTATTCGAGTAAATGATCGAAAATTACTGTACTATTATTTGTTTTTCTTTTAAGTAAATTTAGCCTACTTTTGCTAAAAGAGAAAATATGGACTATTGATAGTGCCTTGAATATCGGCTTCTTTCATTCATGTTATGGGTATTTTTATACAAAGGAAATTTTTTTGTGCCTGTTGCAAATTAAGCTGACTGACATAGCCATAAAAAAATGTTGCTTTATTTATCTGACCATATTGGAATGTATTTGTTAGGTTTTCAGTCAGTTAAATTTGATTCAATAAACAATGTGTGGTCATTTTTAAAATTTTCAATGAACATTCGATCAGTCCGGCCCTCGGCTTGCAGCAAAATTTTTTATCTGGCCCTCCGTCCATTTGACTTTGACACCCCTGGTGTAACGTTTACTCATGCTTGATGAGAGTTGGAAAAAGTCAAGAAGTATTGTTTGGGAAAGAAGCTTTGACACCTCACACGGCACCTAAGGTGCTCTGTCACGTCATGGAAAATAAAAGACGGCACACTGCACTCTCTTATTTACATTGAGCCCCCTTCTAAATCTCTTCCAGCCACGGAATGCTCTTTAGTTTGACGGCGTTTGGAAGTGAGGGAGCTTTTGGACTGTCAGGTGGTTCGAATGGAGCAATTGCGACCTCTAGAGTCCAAACCACCACAGTACGCACTGAGAATTACGGACTGATATGTTCCGTGTGTGTGTGTGTGTGTGTGTGTGTGTGTGTGTGTGTGTGTGTGTGTGTGTGTGTGTATACAGTACAATAACTCACTTCAGCTGCACTTTAAAACAGCCACCGCTGTATACAAAGTGTTGTCATTCATCATACTTGGCCAATAAAGATGATTCTGAGTTCATGTAAATAACCCCCCACCCCCTCCCAAAAAATACAAAATATATAATTTTGAAAGAAGATCGCTAGAATTAAAAGAGATCAATTTGACAAGGAGCAGAATTTTTTTTTTAAACTTTGTGGCCATCTACTGGCCGTTTTGAAGTGAAGCTCAGAAATTCCACCGTTCTATTATTCATCTTTTTGTGTATCATTTGTACCGTTCACATCATAGCACACATTTTCTGCAAAATCTCTGACTTTTCTTTCAACGAGATTGAACATGTCTGACCTTCACCTTAATCCACGCAATCTTCCCCCGAGGATTAGTGTTGAGGACGCAATAGCCGTCCCTGTAATTACACCACAAAGAGGAAAAAAAAAACCACATTGTGTCCTCCACACCTGCATCACAGAAGCAAAGCCTAGATACTTTCGTCTCCGCGCTTGTGGAGTGCGACCATTCATCTTGGTGGCTTTCTTTGGCTCGGTCGAGATGCTCCCCCCGTCTCCAAGAAAGAAAGTGGGGGAGGGTTTAACGGGAGCTTGCATCCCAACTCCAAACTCCAAGCAGCGCTTGCAGTGCAGCTGTAGCAAGCCGGTGTAACTGGAAAGCAAGTTTTTGTTTTTTTTTTTTTCCTCCCTCCGCCTGTCTCTCTCTTTCACTCACTCACTCCAATGTGAGGCTTCACTCGAGCGTGGGAGGCAAAAGTGTGTGTGTGTGCGTGTGTGTGTGTGTGTGCGTGTATGAGTGTGTGGGATTCGAGCAGGACTTTCAGATCACTCGCAGCAAGGGAGCCTTGTAGGCCATTATGGGCGCTTTAATGGTCATCTTCTCTCTTCAGCCCAAACAAAGACGCAAGCCTACAGGTAGGAAGCCAGACAGGGTATTTTTTATTTTTTATGTTGAGTGTGTGAACAATCTCCAGACGCCGTGCCCGTACGGCCCCGTCGGGAATGCGCTCTGCCAACTTGATGATTTCAAGCTCCTTTTAACCTTCCGCGAGCAATGGTGATGTCATGCCACAAATTTCAGCTGTTGCTCGGTGCAAATTGAGAAATGAGCGTGCGGCAGCTTTTTCCATTTCCTTCGGCAATCCATTTTCTCGCCAGGCCAGCAGATCATGAAATGGACTTCAAATTCACATTATTTTGTTGTTGTTGTTGTTGTTGTTGTGAGGGGAGGGAGAGTTACGGGGGTGCAAAGTTTGGGGGTGCCTTGTTTGCTCTGCCTTCGATGTGCTGACAGTGTTGGTAAGGCACCAAGGTGGTTTAATTAGCTCGGCAGCTTTTTTTATGGGGGGCGCCGCAGTGAACATGCAAGGCACAGCAGCCTGGTTTTGATGCATTTGCACTGTAAGCATATCTTACATGCAGCCACATGGGAGGGAAACCCATATACGGCATGTACACACGACCACAAGACAAGTGTTCTCTTCGTATAGGGCACAAATGTCATCGATTTAAACCTCTTATTACGCAGAAATGTTTTTTTTTTTTGGTGTTGTTGTTGAATGTACTCATTTTTATTTCATCTAATGGCTGCACGAAATAACGTCGTCTGGATCATCCATTTTTAAGTAGACTATACATCTACCGGATTTTATTTTGTGCAACCACTTGACGAAATAAAATTAACTTACACACACCATTTTTTGGGGTGGGGGTGGGGGTTATGAGCTTAATATCAATTGAATTGAAAGTCGAAAATTTTGTGATGGAATCATCGGGATTTTTGGAAAATCAAACATGCGCCATGTCAAATGGACCCATGAAGAAAAACAGCAATTTTCAGTTGGAAATGGCTTTTCCTGCATGTGTTCCTAAAAATATTTTTGACACTGATTTCACAAAGGCCTTTACATTTTTCTTGCACACCAAGTTCTTGAGATGTTTTTTTTTGCGTTTTTTTTTTTTTTTGTTTGACGTATAGAAGCTTGCACAATACAGATATTACCATGCATTATAATGACGTTTCAGAAAAAAAAAATCCATCTGTTGCCAAACTTAAACCTTAATTCAGAAATATTACTAAATATATTGTTATATTACATAATTATATTTATCCATCCATTATCTATTATTTTGATTATGATGATGAAAACCTGATGTGCTTAAGAAGTCAGATCTGGAATCAGTGCAAAACATTAATTCAAAAAAGGGGCCCGTCCCAATTCCCCGCAAATAGCGATTGTCTGATGTAAAGTAACTCAACAAGTTGTTTAAATTGAACAGATTGGTGCAAGATCGGATTGGAGCTCAGTTAATGTATTTTTTTATTTTTTTATTTTGATGGGCTCCAAAATCGTGGTCATTTGAAGCCTAATTGTTTTGTGTTCTTGGAAAGAAAAATGCAAGCGTATGCTGCTCTTGCTCTCGCTCCATGGAGCAAAATAATGGAAGGAGGCTCTTAACAAGCCACTCTGCAGCTCGCCATTTACCGCCATAGTTTGCATGACAAGAGCCGACCGTCCCACAAGCCCCCTCAGGTGTTGGCGCATCGTGTGCGTGGTCAGGATCTGAATGTTTGTGTTTTTGCCGCGTGGGAGGAAGCTGCTTACTCAGGCTACCAACTGGTCAAATGAGTTGTCTGCGACAAGAGACCACTGAAAGGCACGTGGAGGGGGCTCCGTTGTCTTCATCCCCCGTCATCCTCCTCATCCTTCCCCAAGCGTGCCGTTGCGGGCCATGTTTCTGACGCCGGCCCCGGGTGTCTTTGTCGGACCTTCTGTTGTTTGGAAAAAGTGAGCGGAGAACGTGGAGACCACTGAGGGGAGAGCAGCTGTCATTTTTTTTTTTTTTTGTATCCATGGTTACCTGACAACCAGCATGCTCCCTGACAGAAGCAAACCTGGGCCACAGGTAGAGAGCTTCCCCATCGTCACACCAGAGAAATATTTTCAGTTTGAGCTTTCATTTGGTTGCAGGCTGCTCGAGAACCCAACCGATAAATTGGTGCATAGGTGAACGTTTCTTCAATCTATCCACATCAGTCAAAAATAGTTCCTTTAAATTGGGGCATCATTTTCAAGAGAAAAAAATGCAGTAACTTTTAAATTTACATTTTTTGACATTTATGACAAACAGGATACATTTTCAAACTTGCAATATCTCACTGTTATTAAATAATTCACTGCCGGACCAGTTCAAATGGATTTTTGACGTCTGTAGCCGTCAATGGCAGTGAATGAATTGAAAATGTTGATAAATTGCAATTCTCGTATTTTAGCAGGAAACATGATGTTCATGAAGATGATTTGCCTTCATTGCCCCACGTGAAATAATGTGGTGGGCCGGATTGGGCCCCTGGGCCTTGAGTTTTACACCTGCACTTTCGTGAAACAAGCCATATACATTTTTGACGAGAAAACGTTTTTTTGAACAGTAAAGAATACTGATTTGTTCATCGCCTAATGAAAATTTGAGTCATTTCGTATCACCAATAAAACGACGTCAGTCCACATATATGAACTTTTTGCTGCCAGGCTCCTCCTTGGTGTCCGGCAAAATCGATGTCGGCCCCCCAAAATCTTATCGGTCGGATTCTATTTCATAGCTAGTCCACCTACCAAAGTTTTGCAATCCTCAAACCTGAAATGTTTGAAACCCTTGCCCGTGCGTCCCCGTGCTGTGGTAAACCCCAATATTCCAACTGGCCGAGTTTGCGCTCGCCTCGATTGTCACACGCGTCCATCTTGTTCAGCAGTACCAGATGGGACATGACAATGACAGCCCGTCCGTCGGCCCTGCCGCTTCTGTCTGGCCCGATTGATGACGAGGGCTGCAAATGTTTCCGATTCCTTCCCAGATGGTCAATGTTGCTTTGTGTTGTTGGCGATTAGGAGCTGGACTAACAAGTAGGATTCAGCACCCTGAGCAGCGGGGAACGTTGGCGGCCACACTCGCCATTTGTCGCGCAGCTCATAATCATGTTTTGCGCATAAACAATAGAAACAAGATACAGTACTCGCTTGTTCATGCTGCTGCTCTCAATTTGACCCAGATCAAAAAAACAAAACAACAACAACAAAATAAAACAAGTTTTATCTGAGAGGCATGCACTAAATTGGAGTGAAATGATTGACTTTCTCTTTTGGGTTCTTTTCTTTTTTGGGGGTTGATCCAGAGTTAAAATGTCTTTTTTTTTTCCTTTTTTCGGGGGGCGGGGGAGGGGGGCAGTAGTTCTTTCCAGCTATGGGTTGCAGTTTCTATCTTTGTCCACTCGGTGGAGGCAAAGTCACAAAATGCAGTACAACATTGCTTGCATTTGCTTGGTTCGAAATTGTATTATTCTTATTATTATGTTATTAATTAACGGGCACCATTTACAAGATTGCACTGAGATCATTTGTGTTGCATTTGTACACACGTTGGCATGCATTATGAAATAATCTGCCATAGTTTATGAATATTGCCTGTTTTTTTAAGATGCCAAATTAAAAACACTAATCAACAATTTTTTTTTTTTTTTACTAAATTTTATAATCAGAGATACATGTAAACTTTTCAAGAAAAACTTTTTGCGCTGATTCTGAATGCGCCCTGTTTTTTTCAGCTCTCACATTTATAATAGTAACAAAAATATATGTGATACATTTAGCAATATTTATGTATTGAGGGTGACGTTTAGCAACAGGTGGATTTTTTTTTTCTGACACATGGCTAAAAACTGCAACACATATAAATCAAAACAAAAAATGAAAATATCTCAATAACTGGATGTGCTAGTTTGTGCACTTAGTATGTACCGATTATGAGACGATTTGCTGTGGCTGCACTGAAACGTCTCATTAGCCAATAACTAGATGTGCTAGTTTGTGCGCTTATGATTCTGAGATGATTTGCTGTGGCTGCACTGAAACGTCTCATTAGCATTTACTGTGGCAATCGATCGAATGGCGTGTACGCGTCGGAGCTTGTCGTCAGCAGGCAGGTGTGAACACACACACACACACACACACACACACACTTGTAGCAATCGATCGAATGGCGTGTTCACGTCGGAGCTTGTCGTCAGCGGGCAGGTGTGAACACACGCACACACACACACACACACACACGCACACACACACACACACACACACACACACACCCACCTTTGCATTTTGGGGGACTTAATAGTGTCATCAGGGCATCATTTTCCTGAAAAGGGGCATATTTTAAATCATTTCCTCAAAAATCTTCGAAATATTTTTTTCTAGAATGTGACTTTTTCAAAAGTCTTCAACCATTTTTTCTTGAAAATATTCCACGTATTTCATTAAAAAAAATCTATTGTCTACGTTTGAATGTGATGAACAAACATGGGCGCCTCATCACATTCTTCCTCCCCCTCCCCTTCCTCCTCTTCCTGGTTATCGTCGTTCTCGCCAAAGAGCGCCCCACACACACACACACGTACACACACGTACACACACGTACACACGAGTCTCTCGAGCTCCGTTTTGATGGCTCCGTTGAAATGAACTTGGAGGGTCTGGAGATGATGGCCGTGCTGGCCGTGGTGGTCCTCGTCGTGAAGGTGATGGAGCAGTTTGGATTGTTGGACATCGGCCACGCCGGTAAGACGAGCGGGAATGGGTCAAGAAAGTCAACTTTGCTGTGCACTTATTTCTGAACAGTATCTTTCAACGTTCATAATTAACCTGCCTATTATGAAGCATCAAAAAGTACGTTTTTGGGGGGGTGGGGCTTTGCAATTTTTTTTCTCCTGAAATAGCATCTTTTTTTTTTTTTTTCCTCAAAAGTGCCTCAGATGTCTCATCTCGTTTGCTCATCATTTTCATTTTAACCATTCCATGCACCTTATAACCTGATCACATGACAAGATGTCGCCAAAAAGGTTAAAATGCGAACACCCTCCAATTGTT